ATAGAAAATTGCTTTGATACCACACTTACAATCTTTTTTTTTCCTCTCTACTTCAGTGGTCTGTAATTTATCTTGCTAAGTTATCTTCTTTTAAGGTTATTTCAGTCTTTCTTTTTTATATAATATGTCTGCTTTGTTATTTATCCTAACAGTACTTTATCTTTTACTATATATTGTTTTTTCTTTTTTTCTCTCTTTATTGAGATATAATTGGCAGATAGCATTACTAACACTACTTTTTATTCTTTTTATTTTTTAGGTGTCCACCTGTATACCTGTGCTCTCTCATTTTCCTGTACTACTAGTACAGTACATTTTTTTGATCATTCACTTTGGAATCCAAACATGTATATTAGTCAGTGCAAACATCTGATCATTTCATTATGACTTCTAATGTGCCTGAGCATTTACATATGAGATAGTCATGCTTAAACATTGATGTATTGAAATCAATATTGTTATAATTTATTTTCCTTTTGTTTCTCCTTAATATTTAGGTGGGGCCTTACATTTATTTTCTTTCTGAAGTTATATATATGGGTGGTTAGTGGCAAACTTCAATTCAGGATGGCCCAGGGGCATTGCTAAATATCTGTTATAAAAAGTGGGCATTTGTTCTGATTAAGTGGAGAACAACTATTTTAAGTAATCCTTAAAATCCATTTTGAATTTGCCTACTAGTGGGGTGACTGCTCCCTGGTTTGCCTGAAATAGTATTGGTTTGATCATATTTTCCTGGCAGAATTATTAATTATGTCCCTTTTGGTGATGAGAGTCCCAGTTTGGATGATAAATTGTGACACCACACACTTTTAGAAGCATTTTTTCTCCTTACCATCTTGATTACGTATTCCCCTTTTCAGCAGCATTCTCTCAGTCTCCATATCAGTGGTTCTCAACCTTCCTAATGCCGCGACCCTTTAATACAGTTCCTCATGTTGTGGTGGCCCCAAATTTCATTGTTACAAATTGAACATAGTTAAAGCATAGTGATTAATCACAAAAAAACAATATGTAATTATATATGTGTTTTCCGATGGTCTTAGGCGACCCCTGTGAAAGGGTCGTTCGACCCCCAAAGGGGTCGCGACCCACAGGTTGAGAACCGCTGCTCTATATCCTTTGACAAAAAGTGCTGGGCCCCTCCACTGTTGAATTTTCACTGTTAAAAGCTGCCAGCATTCTGTTTTTACTTGTCCTTGAAAAAAATCAAAGATTACTGTTTAAATACCTTCAGTGCCTTGGTCTTTTTCCTCTCATTAATTGATCCTGTCTCCACCAATTCTCTTAAGTTACTCTTCTATTTTTAGCATTTCTACCTTAATCCCCTTTCCACTTATTTTTCTACACAGCCTTACTGTTCTGCCAAATTTTCATGCTTTCACAAAATTAATTTTGCCTTATCTGACAATTTGCAACTTCAAATTTTTGCCTATAAATAGACTCCATTAGTTATCTTAGCCCAAAGTCTCTTTGTTTTGATGTAAACTCTCTGGTGTTAACTCACATTAAAATAAGCATTCCTCAGTTCCATTTTTAGCTGAATGTTTTATGTGTTACCTTTGGATCATACCATAAACTGCTCTTACTCTGATATGGAAGTACCTCCAAACAGCATTCTTTTGCTCTTTTTTGAGGAACTGCCATATTTTTAACTTAATTTTGTTTTTTAAGGTATACAGGAATTTTAGCCTTTGGATTAAGATGTTGAGCTCCCAAGAGTTTTAAAGATGCTTCTTCTAGGGTTTTAATTTTTTTATTTTTTTAAAATACACATAACTTAAAATTTACCATTTCAGCCATTTTAAAGTATACAATTCAGGGGCATTAAGTATATTTACAGTGTTGTACAACCATTACCACTGTTTATCCCCCAGTCAGAAACCCCTCTCACACTGAGCAGGCACTCCCCGCCCCACCCCAGCTCGTCACAGCCACTAACCTGCTTTCTGTCTCTATGGATTTGCCCCTTCAGAACATTTTACATAAATGGAATTGTACATTTTTTGGTGTCTTGCTTTCTTCACTTAGCAAATTTGTTCAAGGTTCATCCATGTTATAGCATGTCTCATTACTTTATTCCTGAATATTTCACTGTATAGATAGACTGCTTTTTGCTTATCCATTCATCAGTTGTCAGTCTCATGTTTATCATATCTTTACTCCAAAATGAAATGAGCATTACAGTAGGTTAAGTGCAGGGAATGGTACATGGATATTTAAGGTGGGAGTCTTAGTGATTGGGCATGTTGCTGATGCTGTGGCATAGAGCCTGTGTACTAGTAAGAGGGCATGTTTACCTCTGTTTGGATGCTGGAACCTTTTCCCTTTTTAAATTTTCTTTCTCCACACCTTCCAACTTTTTTTCCTTTTTTTATAACTAGAGTTTTTGTTTTTTCTTTACCATTATATTTATAGGTTCTAGAACAAGACAACTGAATAAAATTATTCATAGTCCCACCACCCCAAATAACAGTTGATGCGTTTTCTTCTGGTCATTTTCCTATGTTTGGGTATTTCATTTTTTGTAATTATAATCACATTGAACAGAAAATTTTATATGCTGCTCTTTTTCATAAAATTTCATTAATTTAGCAAATATCTGAATATCTATCATGTGCTGGGCACTGTTCTGGATACCTCTGGTGAATGAGTAAAAAGTACGGGTGGGATGTGGTTCGAGAGTCATCAGCTTCTGAGTGATATTTAAAGTCATGGGGCTGCTGCATAGTATTCCATAGTGTAAATGTACCACAGCGTTTTTATCCACTCATCTACTGATGGGCACTTGGCCTGAGACAGCAAGGAGGGGCCTGGAAAGTATTATGCTGAGGGAAATAAGCCACTCAGAGAAAGACAAGTATCACATGAAGTCACTCATATGTGGAATCTAATGAACAAAATAAACTGATGAACAAAATAGGTCCAGAGACAGAAGCATGGAACGGACTGTGGAATCTCAGAGGGAAGGCAGGGGAGGATGGGTGGGTGGGAAGAGATCAACCAAAGAACTTGTATGCATGGATGCATAACCCATGGACACAGACAGTAGGGTGGTGAAGGCCTGAAGGAGTGGGGGGAGGTGGGCTGGAGGAGGTCAATGGGGGTAAAAGGAAACATATGTAATACTTGCAACAATAAAGATTTTAAAAAAATGATAAAGTCATGGAGCTGTCCACAGCCTCCTGGGGGAGAGCCTAGGGTGCTGAGGGGAAGACCCAGGACTCAGCCGCTGCAAAGGTCGGGCAGAGGAGATGGACGAAGAAGGGTGAGCCTGGAGAATCTGAGAAGCAGGAAGTGAAGGAGAAGGGCTTTGAAGGGGAGTAGCCCCTCATGTCAAGTGCTACAGAACATCCGAGTGAGGTGGGGAAGAGGATTACCTGATGGATTTGGCGAGATGGTGGTCCGGATGGAGCTCATGGAGTAGAGGGAGTCACAGCCCAGATGAAGTGTGGAGGAGCCAATGATAGGATATTTTAACATACTTCTATGTTTCATATGTTCTTAACATTTTACTTAACCACTTATTGTCTTCCTACTGTGTGACATTTACATCGTTTCCAACTTTCACTACAAACAAGACCGAAGTGAACAGCTGTGTAAACTTGCTTTTCTACTTTTAGCATCATTTCCTTTGACTGGAGGCACAGAAAGGAAGTTGCTGGCCTAAGAGCAGAGTACTTAGAGCTCATGTTTCCTTCGCTCAGATCCTTTCTAAAAGGGCTGACTGGTACTCCCCGCTCCAGCAGTGATGGAGGGGCCCAGCACCCCGACTGCCATTGTCAGTGGGGTCCTCCCTATCAGCTTAGAAGTTCTCTGAATCTTGAAGAGCATTGAATGGCAAGAACAAAACCACACTGTGGCATGAATACACACAGCTCACTAGATAGTTATGTTAAACAGAATGCAGGTGCTGTAATTGCCATTCCACATGGAACCACGCTTAAATGTGACGCTGGTGTGTTAATCCTCTTTCGCTGGGGTGCTGGTGGAACCTTAGACCAGCTATGCCGAGGGAAATACGCAGCCATGACCTTCACCTCCCATTCCTGTGCGTCCTTGTAGATGGGATCGGTGCTGGCATGTAAGGGAATCTCCCCTTTTCCAGTCAACACCCTGCAACCTCTCATGGCAGCTGCCTGCTCATATCAGGGAGTGACACCTGCCCTTTCCATGTGTGCCTCGGGTGGGGTTTCATAAACATTCCAGCTTGTGGCAGGGAGAGAACAACTTCCAGGCTGATCACCATCGCAAAATGCCCTGCCCTCCCCTTCCGATTCCTCAAAAACACCCACCACTTTGTAGTCACTGCGTGGGCACATTGTGAGTTGTCCCTCCCGCAGTAGCAGCTGGATAGAAGGAGCTGACCCCAGCTTCTGGGTGTGCTGGTTAACGGCTGGCTCCACAGCAGCGCATCTCCGGTCATCGGCTTCATCCCAGCAGGACGGGTGGTGCTATGTGCTGGGCTTTAAGCAGAAAGATGGAGTGTTGATTGTGTCCAACATGAATAGATGTGGTAAGAGAGATACAAGGACCTCTCCCTCCAACTGAGTCATTTCCTGGAGAGGCCGTGGGTCACCATAGATAACCCCCAAAGTGGAAGCTCCAGCTGTGGATCACAGATAACCCCCCAACCCCAAAGAGGAAGCCTCAGCAGCAGTGACAGCTCAGCAGGTGTTGATGTTCACGAATAGGCAGGCCCGGGTGCAGTCCTGCACTGTGACCGGCTCTGGGGCTTGAGTGGGCGACTTCTCTGAATCCCATTGTTCTCGCCTGTTTAAACACTAGAAGGATGATGTAGTACCGGCCTCCTTAAATTATTGCAGGAAATCAGGCGATGATGCATGTAAAGTGCCCAGCATAGTGCCTGACCATACGGGCTCAGTCAGGGTGAACTGTGTCCTTTGTTGTCCCATCCGTTCTCGTTGACTGACTCCTTGCTCCAAGTTGCTGGCTGAGACCTGACTCTTCAAGCCTCTTTCTCTGTTTCCTACTTGCAGGGGGCTTTGTGAAGAGGCACGGTCAGCCTGTTTCCAAAACCTTGGGGTAAGTTCTGGGATGTTCAAGCCAGGGTAAGGGCTGGATTGGCTTTTCCTGCTGACTTGACAGAACAGGTCTAGGGAACACATCTTCTTGGGGATCCTGGGTCATGATAACTAAAGTGGGAGCCTATTGGGATGTGATGGGCCATTCACACAGTGCCTCCTGACCTGGCCTCTGTGGAGAGCCCCTGGACTAAATGCTGCTAAATGCTAAGGAAGGGGGCTCTGTGGCCATGTAGTCTGCAGGGATGTCTAACAATCAAGGCAATAGTTGAAAGACTTAAGTAAGCAGACTTAGAAGAGGCAATCTATGTGACACTTCTTTTTTTAAAAAAAATATTTCTTGCCAAAACCGGTTTGGCTCAGTGGATAGAGCGTCGGCCTGCGGACTGAAGGGTCCCGGGTTCGATTCCAGTCAAGGGCATGTACCTGGGTTGCGGGCACGTCCCCGGTGGGAGGTGTGCAGGGGGCAGCTGATCGATGTTTCTCTCTCATCGATGTTTCTGGCTCTCTATCTCTCTCTCTTCCTCTCTGTAAAAAATCAATAAAATATATTTTTTAAAAAAATATTTCTTTATTGATTTCAGAGAGGAAGGGAGAAGGAGAGAGGGATAGAAACATCAATGATAAGAGAGAATCATTGATTGGCTGCCTCCTGCACACCCCCTACTGGGGAACGAGCCCGCAACCCAGGCATGTGCCCTTGGCCGGAATCGAACCTGGGACCCTTCAGTCCGCAGGCCGACGCTTTATCCACTGAGCCAAGCTGGCTAGGGCTATGTGACACTTCTTATGGAAGGTGAAATTATATTGGTAAGGGTAAGTAATGGTAGCAGCTGTAACAAAAAGACCCCTAATCACAATAACAAAGGGAAAGTTTTTTGGTGGTGTTTTTTTTTAACCCTCACCCGAGGGTATTTTTCCATTGATATTTTTTAGGGAGTGGAAGAGAGAGGGAAAGACAGAGAGAAATATCGATGTGAGAGAAACACATCAATTGGTTGCCTCCTGCACGTGCCCTGGGCCGGGGAGGAGCCTGCAATTGAGGTACATGCCCTTGACCAGAATTGAACCCAGGACCCTTCAGTCCGCAGGCCAACGCTCTATCCACTGAGCCAAACCGGCTAGGGCGGGAAAGTTTATTTCTTACTTAAGTAGTCAATTCAGATATTCTTAAACAGGTGAAGAAGTTTCCTATTATTTTTCAGGGATCCAGGCTCTTTCCATTTTGTAGCTCCACCATCTCCTAGTTCTTGGAGCCTTTGCTGGACCCTGTGCATCTAGCCAGAAGAGTGGACAAGAGAGAGTGTGGAGAATCTCACAGGAAGTTTTATGGGTCCAGTCTGGAGATGGCATATAGCACTTCTGCTTGAAGTCTGTTGGCCACAACCCAGGTGTTTGGTCAGAACTCAGTAGAATTCAGGCGTATCCTACTTTAAAGGAGTATAGTAAATGAAGTCTAGCTGCAGGCCCAGGAGGTAAAGGAAACAGGTTTTGGTGCCACAGGTTTTCCCTGGAGGTACAGGTGGTGCATCAGAAGTGTGTTTGAGGCACAGAGATGAGCAGGCTGCCCTTTACTGGTCCCTGGCCCCAATTAAGCGACTTGGATGGCGTCAGAGAAAAAGAGATGTGAATTGCTGCAGTGTCTGAGGCTGGATTCTCTGCTGATTTCTTTCCCGGGACAGATTCACATCCCCCACAGTGGAGACCCGTCCCAGCATCTGGGGAGAGTGCCCACCAAAGTTTGCTACCAAGCTGGGCCGTGCGGTGGTCAGAGAAGGACAGATGGGGCGATTCTCCTGCAAGATCACTGGCCGGCCCCAACCACAGGTCACCTGGCTCAAGGTGAGGTTTTGTCTGCCCCAACTCTGGCCAGACCTGGGGACCCTGAAGGTTTAGCGTTAGGCCCTTGGACCAATGGGGGTGTCTTTCTAATCAGCCCCTTCTTTTTCATCCATAGGTGGTTCTTGGGGTTTCTCTGTATGTTTCACAGTCATGCTGGTTCCTGCCCCTGGCTGCATACTCTCCCTCTGTTACTCAGTCCACAATGTCCTATAATCCACACACACACAAAACAGCATGACTTCTGTGCAACACAGACCCGACCATCTCAACAGAGTGGAATCTGAAGCCGTGGGACTTGGTTTTAACCCTCAGCTCCCTGGTTCACAAAGCATGTAATACCGGCAAGTCGTTTGGTCTCTTAGAACCCTGGTCTCCTTATCTGGGAGGCAGAGCTCTCCCACCTGCCTTGAAATACTCCATGTGGAAGTGCTTTATAACTCTTTCAGGTCTGGGCGATGTGGAGGAGGAGGTGGTGGGTGGGGAAGTGGAGGCAGCAGCAGGAAGTGGAGGGGGGAGTGGATGTTAAACGGCACTGAGGAGCCGTGGGGAAAACTTGGGTTCGAGGCGGAGGAGAGAGGTTTTCCACAGGTGGAACCCCTGGATTAAAATGAGTGATGGGACACGTTTTACCTATTTCCTGATTCTCCTGAACTGACTCTGAGGAAAGAATAAAAGGGACAAGGAGGCAAAGGAGAACTAAAAGGAGGAATACAGTGGGGCCTTGACTTACGAGTGTCCCGACTAACGAATTTTTTGAGATACCAGCTGTCTCTCAGCCAATTTTTTGCATTGAGTTGACAGAGTAATTTGAGTTAACGAGCTCCTTAACGAACTCGGTCTCAGAACGAATTAAACTCGTAAGTCAAGGCCCCACTGTATAGGATTTTCCACTGAAAACTGGGGCTCCTTTGAAACAGGTTCCATACGTCTGCTCTAAGCTCAACCAAGCACCACGCTGCATACACAGACCTGGGGTCAGGGCAGTTGGGCTGTTCAAAGACTACTCTTGTACAGCGTGGGGAATATAGTCAGTAACACTGCAATAACTACGTGTGGTGTCAAGTGGATTCTAGACCTACCCGGCTGACCATTTCGTAAGGCATGTAAATATCGAGTCACTATGTTGTGCACCTAAAACTAACACGATAGTGTATGTCAACTGTAATTGAAAACTGTCTTTTTAAAGCCTGTTTTTTAAGCGTGTTGACAGAGCCCAGACAGAGGGCTCTGCTGCCCAGGCCCAGGGTCTGTCCCACGAGGATTGGCTGGAGGTAGGAGGACAGAGCCCTCAGGGGAGCAGGTTGCTCTGACCAAGCCACCCTCTCCCACCACAGGGAGATGCTCCCCTGCAGCCCAGTGCCCGAGTGTCTATGTCTGAGAAGAATGGGATGCAGGTCCTGGAGATCCAGGAGGTGAGCCAAGACGACGTGGGAGTGTACACCTGCCTGGTGGTGAACGGGTCTGGGAAGGCCTCCATGTCCGCCGAGCTCTCCATCCAAGGTAGGGCCAGGAGGCGGGTGCACACAGTCCCTCCTGGCGTCTGTACCCTCCTCGCGTGTCCATTATGCGTCTCTGTGTTACACGTGTCCTATTCACATGCCCAGGTGTCCCCAGAGGCCGGGTCTTGAACCTGAGGGAGGAAGTAGGAGGGCAGCACAGACACGGCCACCCTCTGCCCCTCACCCGTGTCTTCATCTTTTCTTGTTCAGACTCCTTTTTTATGTCTCTAAGTGCCATTGGAAGAGCGAACATGGCTAACACCATCACCCCAAATGTAACCTGCCTAAAGTTTAACTTACCATCCATGCTTCACTCTGTCCTTCAAATCAACTTAACTCTGTCTCCCCCATGATCCCCCCTTTCCTTCTCCCCCAGACCGGACATTCCAGCCTCACCTTGCACCCCTGCCTCCTCTTGCTGTAATCGTCTGCTCCTGTCAGTTCTTCCTTTGAAGTATCTTTGAATATGTCTCCTTCTTATATTGCCCTTGGTTCCATCAAGTCCAGCCTAGGAACGTCGGAGCGTGTGGAGCGGGAACCTTGAGCAAGGTGGGGTCTGGGGGACCAAGGAGGAAAACAGCCTCCGCCTCTCCTCCTCCTTTCTCACCCTTTCTGCTGTGATGTGTCTCTCCCACATTTCCTCCCTTCCCAGAAACTGTTCCTCCTCACTCTCGTTACCATTTTTGGCCCAAGCATTTATCACAACCCACAGAAAGAAATGTGTTCCGCATTGCAACTCAGGACATGCCTCTGTATATAAACATATTTAACTGAAACAAGTTTCTTGAAACCATCCTGAGTTGTACCGTGTACGGTACATGCTGCTATTTTCTGTTCCATCTGCATCATCTGGCCCGACCACGGGGATCCAACCCCACAGCCTACTGCAGGGGCAGGACCTGCTGTGAGGCATGGAGAGTAGAGTCTTAGTCACTCTTCCTTTACTTGCCATGACGTTGAATTAGAGACCTGCTCCCTTCTGAAGTACTTGATGACAAAATCCTATGTCATCTGGGATTTGTTTTAAAACACTCCCAGAAAACGCTCCAGGAAACAAAGCAAAGGAACAGATAAGACTGGCAAAATATTGGTATTTCCTTCATCTGGGTGATGGAGCTCAGGGTTATTGCATCCTTCTCTCTACTATTGTATGTTTTGAAATTTTCCATGATAAAATATAAAAAAAAATAATGTGGCAGGAAAAAATATATTTTTTGAGGAACTATATAAAAACACACTTTTCCTTAACCTTTTATAGCAGGTATGTATTTAAAAAAATGATGATCTGGATGGTGTTGTTTTTGAGGGCCACGTGTAAGTTAAACTGTTTGGGTTTGGAATGTTCAGCACGTGTTTATTTTTGTTTGTCCCTCTGTTGGCTCCGGTTCCGTCTGTGGCTAGAGAGCAGGACAGGTGCCCTGCTGCAGGGTGTGACGGCAGAGCCACCGAGACAGCCCGGCAGCAGGGGAAGCACTGACAGTCCTCGGAGCTCAGAGGGGCTTGTCAGATTAACCCAAGACGTTCAGGACCAGGGAAGCTGAAGGAGGGGGGAAGTGGGACCGTGGGTGAGGGGGAGGTGAGAGCTTAGGGGATGACAACTGTCATGGAAGAGGTTGCTGTCTTATTCCTTTCTCCTCTTGGTGTATAAAATATCCCACTAACAGTGTTCTACCCTCTCCCTTTTTCCAGGTTTGGACAATGCCAATAGGTATGTTTAGGTTTTGTGATTATTATGTTTCCATCTAGAAATGCCCTGAATTTCTGAGTCATGGGGGAGGGAGAACTGTTTTGGGGGTGTTGTTTCATTTTGGGTGTAGAGGGAGGGAGAACTGTTTGGGGGTGTTTTATTTTTGGTGTAGGGGGAGGGAGAACTGTGTGGGGGTGTTGTTTTATTTTGGGTGTTTCCTTTCGTTCTCCTATTGAACATGCCGTCAGGTTCTATTTCAGCCTTGCCATCAGTACTGAGACTCTGGACTCAGTGCCACTGTCTTTCTCAGCGTCTGCTCAGAGTCCTTTCCAGTCGTGTCACCAGGAAGGGCACGGCCTTCCACGTGCTGGGCCAGACCCCGCTGCCCATCCTGCTCCTCTTTCTCAGGAGCGCCCTCCCAGCATGCAGGCTCAGCGGCCTGGGTGCGTGGGGCGAGCAGATACCTGGTGCTGAGAAGGGCTTGAACAGAGCGCACTAATGCGTAAGCGCAGATGATGATAAGTCTGAGGAGAGTAACAGAGAAGAGCGCGTGTAGGCTCGAGGGCCAGAGAAGCCTTTCCTGAAGGAAGACATGATGCTTGAGCCCCGGTCTGTGAAGAGTGAGGTTAGCTGGTGAAGAAAAGCTCAGGCAGAGGGCAGGTGTGTGGGCTGTGAGGTGAGAGGGGGCACGGGGTCACCGTGTGGCTGCAGCCCAGTAGGCAACGCCGACGCTGTCTTGCGAGGTTCAAGGGGCAGCAGGAGCCCCTGCTCATAGAGGCGCCCTGGTAGGCCGTCTCGGGAAGCTCAGTTTTGCTCTTCACGTCATAGAAAGGCTGTTGGGAAATCTTTAAGTTTGAAATGGCATGATGCATGTTTTTAGATTGACTCGCCTGCTCCGTGGAACATGGAACAGAGGGGCCACATGGACAGGGAAGTGGGGGTGTGGCTTAAACTGGCTGGTTATTGTGGAGAAGAGAAATAAGGCAGATTTAATAAACATGGAAAGATCAGGCTCTGGACTGGGGACGAGGGCCAGGGAAGGGTCGAGAATGGCTGCTCGTTCTCTAGCTTGGGAACCTGAGAACACTGCAGAGCACACTTTTGCTCTCACTTTCTCTTAATCCATGGGTTTCTGTGATCCCTGGAATCTGTGCTTGTGGTGAGTAATGCTTGTGAGTAACCAGATGATCATTCTATTTCTCCTTCTCCTTCCCCGCTGTCCTCCTCCCCGCCACCACCCTCAGGTCAGCGTTGAGGGGAACAAAGGCAGCCAGTTCAGATATCAGGAAGGAAGTGGCCAATGGAGTCACACCGGGGCCCAAACTGGACAGCCTGGGAGCTGCAGCTGAAAGTAAGAACTGCTCCAGCGCCCAGAGAGGCGGCCCCCCCGCCTGGGCCCCAAACAGCCAGCCTCCGCCCCTGAGGGAGCCCAAGCTGGAACTGCCCGGGGACTCGCCCAGGAAGGCCCCGAGGACCCCCATCCTGCAGAAGACCTCCAGCACCATCACCCTGCAGGCCACCAGGGTCCAGCCGGAGCCCAGGGCACCGGACCCGGGCACTCTCCTGCCTTCCGGAGAGGCGAGGGAGAGGCCAGCCGCTCCCCCTGCAGCCACCCTCCCCACCAGGCAGTCTGTTCTGGGAACCCAAGACGTTGGGAACAAGGTCGCTTCCAGGAAAATCCCCACGGAGAGCCGGAGGGACTCAACATTCCCCACGTTCGACAGCAAGCCCCAAAGCCAGGAAGTCCGTGAAGGTCAAATAGTCAAGTTCAGGTGTGAGGGTGAGTAGAGCTGAGGTCACTGGCCCCACAGTGTAGCCCTGGGTGGCCACTCCCTCCTTCAACACAGTGTCCGAGCCTCCTGCACCACCCACCCCCTTGGGCACCAGCCACCCTGGAAGCCACTTTGCAGGGGCCGCCCCTCAGGAAGGACTCAGTCTAGTGTTCGAGAAATACCCAGCAGTGCCCTTGCTCATTGTTAGGTAGAGCACCAGCCTTGCGCCCTAATTCTCACCACCCTGGAGGGGAAACTGATCATCACCATCAAACACCAGCAAACTCCTCTCCTCCCTCCTGCTGGCTTTGGCTCACCTGGAGACCTAGCTGTCACCCTGTACCCTCCTCACTAGAACCCTGCCCCTGTCCTGGGTTGTTCACTTCTGTGACGTGGAGGGTCGAGGGGTAAGAAAGTGGACTCAAGCAGGAGGCAGCTACACACCAGTCTGAGCTCTTTCCTGGGTTTAGCCTCCCACCCCCCAGTACAGGGTGCTCTCAGGGGACCTCACGACCTTCACCTGGCCCTGCAGTTTCAGGGATCCCAAAGCCCCAAGTGGCCTGGTTCCTGGAAGGTGTCCCCGTGAGGAGACGAGAAGGCACCGTTGAGATCTACGAAGATGGTGGGTCCCATTACCTCTGCCTGCTGAGAGCCCGGGCCAGGGACAACGGGCGCTACAGCTGCATAGCCTCCAACATCCGAGGCCAGGTGTCCTGTGACTGGACCCTCCTGGTGAAAAGTGAGTACATTCCTCCGGGTCTCCCTGGGTTCTGGGCGGCGGGGAGCGGGGGGGCGGGCGAGGCGGGGAGAGGAAGGGAGGGAGAGGGGGACTTCATATCCTGAACAAGGTCATCTCCCACAGCCCCCACCCAGGGCATCCAACCCCGCAGACATTGTCCCCACATACATGCCAAGGCCAAAGTCACTGCTCAGGACAGTGACCCTGACCTCGAGTTCATCAACATCACCTCAGAATAAACTTCCCCGGCCCACGCCTGCCCGGCCAGAGCTGCCTTTCTTGGGCTCCTCAGCTGCCTGGGTAGCGCCAGCACTCACTTCTCTAACCACAGGGAGCCGAACGTCCCCTAAATATACGCGTCTAAAGTAACATGAGCTGATGTGGGATCCCACATCTCTTCTGTTTATTGTAATATCTGCTTATAAAAGTAATGGGTGTTCATTGTGGGGAATTTAAACAATACATGATCCTATGACTCAAATATATGATATTTTAATGTTTTTAAAACAACATCGATGTTGTGCTGTATTCTAATTTGCTCATGTTACATGAGCTTATTTAATATTATTTGAAAACATAATTTTGATGGCCACATCATGTTTCACAGAATAATGTACCCAATTTAGGCATAGTCTTATTATTGAGTATTTAGATTGCTCCCATGTGTTCACTCTTGTAACAAAACTGTGATAATGCTTGTGCCCATCTATCTTTCTGTAAAATTTCCCCCTTTTTCTCTTTTTTCCTATCACAGCAGAAAGCTGTCTGTTTCCCTTAGGGAGACTTCTCTTTCCACTCTTTCCCTTCTCCACAAAGACTGAAACCAATAACATCCCTCTCCCGCCATTCTCTCTCCCCCTCCTTTTACCCAGAGGCCCTTCTTCCCCCGTGGGCATGCTCTGCTCTTCCCTGTGCTGGAGGGGCAGGAAAACTCTTCCTTCTGCTCCACTGCCTCTTTAGCTCTGACTTTCTCTCTCTGTTCCCTCTTCCTTAAACTTGCTGCCACGTAGAGAGAGTCTCTATTGCTGGGACTGACCGGCAGACCCTGAGCCACGGATGAATGGATTACTCTGACACACGTTTCTGTGAAAGAGAGGCTAAGAGGCTGCTTGGCTCTAGCAGCCAAGCAGCCCTGTTCACCTGCCTCCTTAGGCTTTTATTGTAACAACAGCTTGAACTAAAATTGGCTATTAAGTACTCTCAGCAGGGTAAGCATCCTTGAGAAGACACATGCGTCTGTGGTGTCTTTTAAGCAAGGACGTGTCTAAGTAAACACCTGGTGGCTCAGACTTGTTTGGAAAAGTCAAGGCAGGGGCAGGCACCTTCGGCCAACTCCTGCCCCGTGCCTCCCCACTCTGTCACCGCTGCTATGATTGTAACAGCTAACACTCCACCAGAAAAGCCTGCTCCGTGTGCCGGCATGTGTGCTAATGTTCTACTTGCATTGCTCCATTTAGTGAGCCCAACAGTGTTACAAGCCAATTGCAGTCACACCCAGTACTGAGCTGTAGTGAGGTTAAGTGACTTGTCCAAGGTCACATGCTTTGTAAAAGGTTCCTAACCCACGTTGGTCGGACATGGAAGCCCATACTTTCAGTGGCTCACAAAGGCGTTTTTCTAGGGAGAGAATTGGACACTGGCGGGGAAGAAGTGGAGGTGGTGCCTCCGTACACCCCCTTGAGGTAGCCGTCCATCCCTCCCTCGGGGCCAGTCCCTTTCAGATGCCCCATGACTGACTCCTGGCTGCTCTCCCCTCAGGGGAGCTCTGGTCTAGCGGAGGAAGTGTGGATGTAGTCGAGAGCCTTGCTTCACCATTGGGCTTGGCTATGGGAAATAATTAGCTTCGTCTGTAAAGTGAGCTAAGACAGAAAACGCATGGCCTTGTCATAGTCACGCCTGGAAAAGTACCTGGCATATAGTAAGCCCTCAACTATTGGGTTTGGCCCTTAAACCCTTGCAGTATAATCACATGGCTTGCCTCTCATCACTGTACTAAATAGCGTCTATTGAAAAGCATAGGTGAGCCCTAACCGGTTTGGCTCAGTGGATAGAGCGTCGGCCTGTGGACTGAAAGGTCCCAGGTTCGATTCCGGTCAAGGGCATGTACCTAGGTTGCGTGCACATCCCCAGTAGGGAGTGTGCAGGAGGCAGCTGGTCGATGTTTCTCTCTCATCGATGTTTCTAACTCTCTATCCCTCTCCCTTCCTCTCTGTAAAAAATCAATAAAATATATTTAAAAAAAAAAAAAGAAAAGCATAGGTGAGATGTTTTTTAATCATCTAGTCCAGTTACCTTTTCTCAGCCGTCAGCCACCTTGACATTTCTGCAACGTGTCCTAGTCGTTGTATAAGAGATTATCTACCCCTATTGCTCTTAATTAAGGTCCTCAAACTACAAAATGCTCCCCAGTTCACCAAGTACAGACTTCTGGGAAGTCTAGCTGGGTGGTCCGCAGAGGTCATCATCATGCGGAAGCTTCGTAAGGTACAGTCCCCACCCCCAGCAGCCCTGGGCCATTGGCGTGGGGTGGAACACTGGGACGCATATGTGTCTGTCATCTGATTCAGTCCTGGAATTGGAAAAAGTAATTATACTAACTTAAAATCGAAATGTTCTCACGAGTGACCTGTCCATGTAAAAAGATGGTCACAAGACTGTGCAGTCACCAATGGATATAAAGAAGCTTAGAGACACTGGACAGTGGAGTAGGACCAGAAAGGCAGAAGGAGGAGATGTCAGAGTCAGACCAGGCAGGAGTGTCCAAGTCCCATGAGCGGAGGCAGGCCCAGGTCCTGAGCACCCCCACACGTGGTGCTTTGTGATGGTGGAAAGCCCTGCCAGGTACTCCGCCTCAGGCTCCAGGTCTCTACCCCAGAGGTGTGCCCGCTTCCAGTATGAGGCCTCTGAGGAAGCCCTGGGTGCCCAGGGCAGTGAGGTGTCTACCTGTGAGACTTGGAGTGACTGTAGTCAGTCGCCAGAATGGGCCAGCTGGGATCTGGGATGGCCTGTCTGCTCTCTGCCCTCACAGGACCGGCCTTGATGGAGGCGGCCCCCTCCTTCTCCAGCGTCCTGAAGGACTGCACCGTCGTCGAGGGCCAGGACTTTGTGCTGCAGTGCTCGGTGCAGGGGACCCCAGTGCCCCAAATCACTTGGCTGCTAAATGGTGAGCCCCCCTGCCCCAGCCCTTGGGCCCCCTTGGTCCTGCTTGCGTTCTCACTTGGCTTCCACACGTATCACTCTGAACCACATATGCATCAGAAGGAAGCACAGGTTCAGGGAGAGAATGGGACCTGCCCTTGCCTGGCTGGGGATACTGAGCAGGTTACTACTCCCTCTGAGCTTTGAGCTCCTTGCCTGCAAGACAGAAATAATGCCACTTACCTTCCAGGGTGGCGGCCATGAAATTAAATTAGATCCTTTATATAAAACAGTTAACGAAGTGTCTGGGACCTAGGTGCACAAGCAATTTAGTTTCTTTTTATGTGGCCAGACTCATAATAGGCCCTCAATAAATATTTGTGGAGTCAATAAAAGAACAAATACACCAAATTAATGAACCATACTAGAAGTTACTCAAAGGACCTCATCTTTGATTTAGTGGCAGGTGGTGTTGGGGTCCACAGACCAGTAATTCTTTTTAATGGTATAGTCCTATGGAGACATGCCAACTTTTAAAAAATGTATTTAATGATTTTTGAGTGTGGAAGGGAGAGAGAGAGAACAAGAGAGAGAGAGAAATATCGACTTGTTCCACTTATTTGTGCATTCATTGGTTGCTTCTTATATGTACCCTGACCAGAGAGGGAACCCACAACCTTGGTATATCAGGACGATGCTCTAACCCACTGAGCTACCCGGCCAGGGTAGCAAGCTTTTTGTTTTTGGCCAAGTAATGTCCTTTGAAAAAATTTTCATATATTATCACCCTCCTCTTTTTAAAAAGGCCTTTAAATCCCCAAAGTCTGGAAGAACTCTAATTTTAGAACTGAGAACAGTCCGTAAAATTGATGAAATTGAGCAAGGTCTGCTTCGGGGATCAACAGGGGGAAGGAAGGAGCAGCTGCCAAGAGTCAGGAGACAAGGGCACGTGTCCTTCTCCGCCATCCAGTGGTTGGGTGACCGGGACACCCCCCCTTACCTCTCTGGCATCACCCATGAGGAGGTCGGCTGGAACAGAGGTTCAGGGTCTCAGCCAACTCTCAGGGCTGATGGGATAGGCCAGTGGTCGGCAAACTGCGGCTCGGCAAACTGCGGCTCAGCAAACTGCGGCTCTTTGGCCCCTTGAGTGTGGCTCTTCCACAAAATACTGGCTCTTCCACAAAATACCGACTTCTGTGCATGGGCCACGAAGTTTCAATCGCACTGTACGGGCGCGCCCGCACATGGTATTTTGTGGAAGAGCCACACTCAAGGGGCCAAAGAGCCGCATGTGGCTTGCGAGCCGCAGTTTGCCAACCACGGGGATAGGCTCCTTAAGGTAGAAGGGCACCCATCACCTATGCACCAGTCTCCAGCTGTTTGTGCACCACTGACATGTATGTTGCTTGGGAACTTTCCTCGTTGGTATAGTCTGTTAGGCTTTGATGGAAATTATCTCTCGTCGGTGAGCAAAGGCGCCATGGAGTTTTCCTGTGTCATCGACTTGGATCGCTAAGTGAGAACTGAGGTCTCCCCGCCCTCCACCCTCGTGAAGAACATAGCCCCTGTTGGATTCATGACTAAACTGCAAGGGGGCAGCCTCCTTGTGGCTGGGACGGAGCATGGGCGGTAAGGGCTAGCGATGGATCTGAGTGAGAGAGCTTCACTTCCATCTGCCTCTGCGTCCCAGCCAGAGGCGCAAGGACGTTCTTCTGTGAAGGGCCAGATAGTGTTGTCTCCGTCAAGCTGCTCAACGCTGCTGTACTGGCACAGAAGCAGCCTGACACAATATGCAAATGAGCGAGTGTGGCCATGTTGCAGTAAAGCTTTACTGATGGACACTGAAATGTGAATTTCGTACAATTTTCACATCATGGAGCAGTTCTCCTTTGATTTTTTCAACCCTTTAAAATCTGTAAAAACTGTGCTTAGCTTTCAGGCTGTACAAAAACAGGCTTCAGGTCAGAGTTGTCCCATGAGTAGTGGTTTGCTGACCTGATCTGCACAGGACTGAAAAGCAACCCCACCTCCTTATTCCTGGTGAATCTTGGCATTTCCACACTCTGACCACTAGAGGGCAATTGTGCTCAAGTTGGGCCCCCGTGGCCACTGACTCTGGTCTTAACCTTCGTGGAGCTGGGAGTTGTGTCTCCAGATCTGAGTGCCTCTTTTCTGGGGCCACCATCCCATCCCATCTGGTGGGGACAAGATGAGTTGTGCCAGTAAAAGGAGAGCTCTCACACATCTTGTCAGCATGCTCAACAGCAGAGGCCCTGTGAGGGCAGTCATGGGATGCACTGGTATTCTCAAGGAAGAGGTTTTAGGGTGTGATTGTCACAAAAAAATAAAAACCAAGAGCAGTGGTCCACCCTCTCAGTAGCAGGACCCTGGCCCCTGCCGTTCCAGCCCCGATTTGGTGCAGGGCAGTAGGTCAGGCCGAACCTCCTCCCTCAGGTCCTGTGCGTGCTTGGCCGCCTCTGCCAGACTGTCATGGAGACGTGAGTGTTGTTATGTGCAGAAGAAAACATTGCATTGCAGGGAGAACACTTCTCTCCATACTCCCTCCCTCTCCGACTGCTCGCCCCCAACTTTATGAAGTGCAGCCTGACGAGGGAAGAAGCTGACATTTGCTTCCTATATGGTGAACGGACACATTCCTGCTCTAAGGCCACAATCCTCAGTGATGAGATTTCTTCTTCCTGCAATGAAAGCTCACATCCTGGGATGATAAGGGCCCAGGAACATATAGCATTAAGGGAACCACTGAGTTCCTAGCCTGCGTTTCTCTCCCCATGCAGGATTTTATAGAGGGCCTCTCATGGCAGGGTCTCTGGGAAGAAGGGGCCAGCGTTGTTTCCACTTCCCCATGTTTATCTTTCTTGTGAACCCTAAAATGCCCCTTGTCCCGTGGAAGAAGTGCACCTAATTGCAGCATCAGGTTGAGAGTTCTGGGAATTATCTGCCATGGGCTATGGAATCATTGTTTCTGGAGACTTCTAAAAGGAGTCTGGCTGGTCTGCTCTGCCCGAGGCTGGGCTGGGGGCCAGATGACCCTGTGAGATTCTTTCCAGGCTCCGAAGTCTGTGAAGTCCAGGATGTGGACTGGGGGACTATTTATGTAAACAGAATGCGCAGAACTGTGCCCCTTTCCTTCCCGCATTCTAAATGCCTCCAGAAGCTCTCCCTCAGTCCTTCCAGCCGCAGTCTTGCTCCTCCACCCTCACAGTTACTCCTCTCCTCCATCTCCCTAGCACCTGCCTCTTTCTCCACCCACAAGCCTCTGCCCAGGTGGCTGGGATGAGGGGGGGGGCTGCGGGGGAAGCTGACTCCTCATTAGGTCTCAGTGTGTCTGAGCAACGATGGTGAGCATCAGAGTCACTACCAGAGCAGCCTGCTGAGGACAGGGCTCCACCCCGTCCCCGTGCTGCCTGGCCTGAGCCCTTCTGTGCTTCCTCCACAGAGCAGCCCATCCAGTACGCGCACTCCACCTGTGAGGCTGGTGTGGCTGAGCTCCACGTCCAGGACGCCCTGCCGGAGGACCACGGCACCTACACCTGCCTGGCTGAGAACCCCTTGGGGCAGGCGTCCTGCAGCGCCCGGGTCACTGTCCAAGGTAGGAGCCTCTGCAAACACACCTGTTTTGGAAAGAGGGCCCTGCACCTGAGTGCAGGCAGGTGGAGGAGGTGGCCTCCAGGAGTCCACAGTGACAAGGGTCTGCCATGGGAGAGGGACATTCATACGCCAGTCCCCGCCCCCTCATCCCACCAGGGCGGAGGGGAGACGCAGCAGAACAAGGCAAAGATTCCTTGTCTCGAGCAGCTCCTGATCCGGTAGGAAGAAAACCGCACACTGAAAGATGACCTCGGAGGAGCACCCCTGTCCCCTAAGAGCTAGGGCTCTCACAAATGCCCCTCACGTGCTGGGGGACACTGGGGACATCGTGCCAGTATTGAGGCCTCTAAAGGTCTGTCCCTGCTCCTCCCACCACCAAGGCTTGTTTTTACACATCACCAGCCTGGTGTGTGGTAATCTGATTATCCCCGTCATCCATTGATCCCGCCAAGGGCTTAGTCCCAGGAAGGGGCAGGGCCGGCACAGAACTCAAGTCACAGCCGTCTGGGCTGTGGTGTCGGTGGTGGTGACAGTGGCCGGGAAAGTGTCCTCAGGTCCAGGTGTCCAGGTAAGCCTGACTCCCCACCTCACCCTGGCCTGGGCCGGCTCCTGGGGTGACTGGGGCGACTGGGCCTGGGGCCTTGAACAGGGTGCTCTGTGCTCTGCTTTCCCTGCAGACCAGCAGGAAGACTATGTCTTCCCACTCTGTCCCCCAGGGCCCAGGCCTGCCAGGGAGAACGTTCCTGTCCCCTGTGCAGCCACCTTCTGGGTTTCACTGCAAAGGGAAAAGTCATGTGGGTTATGCGTTAAGTACTTCCCCCCTCACCTATATTTTTTCATCTGGACCTCAGCAGCCCTGGGTGGGGGGTTCTGTTTCACACGAGGGGTCTGGAGGACTGGAGGAGGGAACGTGACTTGCCCGAGTACACCAAGTGAGTAAGTCAAGCTGCCCTTCCAAACCCAGCTGCTCGTGCTCCAAGCCCGTGCCTGTTTCTGAGCCTGCCCTTTCCAGAGTGTGTGTCCCCTGGCCAGGGCGGGAGGCTGGCCCCGTGGCTGGGCAGTGTCAGCCACGTAGGGATAAAGGAGTCCGCACTGACCGAGGGCGTGGCCAACGCTGGCTCCCTGGGGTCTCTGCCAAGAGGGGACATGCTCCCTGGCTTCTCCATTTCTCTGAGGGGCCTAGGCATGGGGTCCGCACCGTGACCTGGTCTCTCTTCCTCCAGGAAGCCCTCTAGGCCCTGGTCGGAGCCTGGCTCTGACCCTGGGTGTTTGTCAGCCAGCGTTCTGGTTTCTACACTTATCCGTTTCCTCACAGATCTCATTGCATGGCTCCTTGAGGGGCCTGGAGAAATTGTGTTCATGAGACTTAAGAGGAAACAAGAACAGATCTGAGCCTCGTCTACTTGGCCCAGGGGAGCAGCTCTCCCCTTCCCACCAGGAGCTCTCCCTGGAGGTTTGCATGCCAACCCCCAAATCTAGTGGCATCTGAGAGCCAGGCCTGCGTTCAGCGGGTGTGGCATTTCAGCCACTCCCTCACTAGCTTCGGCCCGTGGCCCCGCTAATCCAGGGCCTGTCCTGGTTGCCAGTGTGAAGATTGGATTAGAGAGACCCAGCTGAGCTGATAGTGCAGCTACAGGTGGGGGACTCCGGGCGAAGGATCGGGAAGTCTGGCAGCCATCCTTCCTGCCTCCTGGTTTGTGGGTGGAGTGGGGCCTGCGGGAAGGCCCATCCAAGGTTTTAAAGCAGAAAGGGAGGGGTCCAGCAAGAACTCCGAGAGGCCATTTGGACTTGCTCTGAGAGCAGCCCTGCCTGAGTGAGCAGCCCCTCCCCGTGTGGGATTTACTGACCTGTGAAGGCCAGACAGAGGCTCAGATACCATAAATGGTGAAGGAGGCCGAGAGACGCAGCGCGCCCTGAGGCCGGCCGCGCTGGGGCTGTCTGCACAAGGATCGGGGCCGCGGAGCCTGGCACAGTGACACCCCTGGCCCCATGCTCCCAGGGACTTGGGAAGCTGGAGTCCACATGCTGCACCATCCTCCCTCCACAAACTGGAGTGTTTCTTACTTTATTGGCAGCTCCGTTGGCTCCAGGTCCTGAGGGCCACTTAGGGGATGGGAGATGGCTGCAGTGGAGGCCTTTGTCCCCTGTGGTGCCTGCCGCTGTCTGTCCTCTCCCTCTGCCCAGGCCTGGCCTGTCTGCTGCCCTCAGTGTGGCACAGGGCCACGGTTGGAGCGCGGATGTGGCACTAACTGCCTGAGTGTGAATCCGGCTCCACCGCTCACCAGGCCTGCAACCTCCAGGCCTCACCTTCCTCTTCTGTGAAATGGGGACACTGATAGTCACCCCAGTCCTGTGAGGGTTAAATGAGTGAGTACCCGTAATGTCCCCAGGATGTAGGAATTGCTGAGTAAGCGTGTGCTGTTGTTCCACAGGGCCTGACCTTTAAACAAAATAGAAGTTTAAAATGCCAAGTCTAAGGAGCCGTCTTACCGAAGGATCAACTTTGCCTCAGTGGGCGGTTGACTATCTGTTTTGGTAAAGGGAAGGGGAAATCCGAGGATGGTCTCAGGCACCCCATTCAAGGGGCTCTGGCCACAAGAGGGCGCCATTCAGCAATGCATCTCCCTCCGGTCGGTCGTCTGGGTTCCTGGGGGCAGCTCTGCTGGAGGCCAGAGCTCAGTGGGAGAGGTCAGCAGATACTTTGCTGGAGACCAGATGTGGGGACTCTTTCTCACCTCTTTAGCCTTTTGCTAAGGTTTTGCAATCATCCGGAAGTTGACCCAGCACTCTGGCATGGTTTCTGCAGCCACTTTTTCCTTTCTCTGCCTCTTCTCCTCAGTATCCCTTCCTCCACAAATCCAGCTAACTCCCCCTCACATATGTCACTTCCTCTGGGAGGCCTTCCCTGATCACCCCAGAATGGGCTCTCTGACCAGCTGTACCTCCCTTATTATCATTGTGCTTAAATGCCAGCACGTCTTCACTGAGCATCTGTCTGTGCCAGGTTTGTCCTGGGGACACTGCACGGAACAGGGCAGGCAAGCTCTGCCTTCATGGCGTGTACATTCTGATGGGGAGACGGGTAAGACTCAACATCTGGTTGAATCGAACACTGACAAGCACTGTTAGAAAATGAGGACAGAGGAGGGTGATGAAGGAAGTCTCTACAAGGAGGAGACTTCTGAGCAGAGACGTCAGTGGACTGGAGGAAGAGCGCTCCAGGCAGGCGGTACGCAAGTGCCAAGGCCCTGAGTCGGGAACCTGGTCAGCCTGTGGCTGGAGCAAAGTGAGTGGGTGGCCAAGTGGTCGAGGATGAGTTCAGAGATAGAGGCAGGGTACATCATGCAGGGCACCCAGGGGTAAGGACAAAACATCCTGTTCTGTCCAATTTCACTTAGTTCCCCTGCAGACTGTAAGCTGCCTCCAGGCAGAGACCGTGTTTTACTGTTGCAGGTGAAGCAGGGCCTGCCATGTGGACGTGTGTTCAGTGACTGAACGAAAGAGCAAACTGAGGTCGAGTCTCCCCAGCAGTGGCAGTGTGTGTGTGTGGGGGCGGGGGGTAGGGGGTGAGGGGGGGGCGGGGGGGGGGAGGCCTTCTGTCCACCTCCTCACTTGTCTGGGGCTCAGTCAGTGCTCACCGGAGGTGCAAGAAATCCACAAACCAGCTCTCAAGTCGGTCACCAAATACCCTTTCCTTGCCCGCACTTAAAGGAAAAAAAAAATCCCCAGTAGTTAATCAGGCAATGAAAGCCTTCCCTTCTGACCCAGGATGGAGCCTAAAGGATGATTAATCCAAATTCCTGCAAAGACCAGGAAGATCTGAACAAGAATAAATTGTTCAGTGCATATGGACTGTGTCATTGGTGGGGGCTTCCTTAGGCTGGAATATTTTAATTTATCTCCTCTGGAGTATCTTTGTGGAGGCGAAAATTCTTAAGTGACTAGATTTATTAACCTACTAATTGCACCCATTTTGACATAGTTTTGAGCCCAATGGTTTGTTTATTTAACTGAAGGTCTGCTGGGCTTTTTAAAGACGCCTAAGGACATAGAAAAAAATGAAACTTAATAGCCATATTTATTAGAGAACTTGTTTTGACGTGAGGTCCTAATGAAAACAAAGGGCCCTGGGGAAGTCAGCCGTGCACAGTGCAAGCATCAGTAGAAGCCCAGGCCTTCAGATCAGGGGCAGCCACTCCATGTGGTAGCCCTGAGCACAGGCAGCCTCTGTGCCTGAAGACACTGCTGCCACCTCCTCTCTCCTAATCATGCTCAGGTGCTTTGCACCCCGTGTGATCTGTCCAGTGGGTGTCAGGTATGGACCCTGCCCGCCATGAATTTAAAAACACTGAAAGCTTTTAAAATACGTATGTCAGCTAAAGAGAAATTTATTGAAGGAAAAAGATAAGTATCGGTTTTAACTTGTCTTTAATATATATTAAAGATCTTTATTGATTTCAGAAAGGAAGGGAGAGGGAGAGTTAGAAACATCAACAATGAGAGAGAATCATTGATTGGCTACCTCCTGCACAGCCCCACTGGGGATCGAGCCCGCAACCTAGGAATCAAACCATGACCTCCGGGTTCATAAGTTGATGCTCCACCACCGAACCATGCCGTTCGAGCAACTTGTCTTTTTTTTTTGAGGACCTTAAAACATCTGCCCAAAGGTCTTTCAAATTCTAAGAAGGCAAGCAGTGAAATGTTAAATTATTTTAAAATCAATAGTTTTGTTTTATATAGGTTGACTATAAAAGTTTGGACAGGTCAGTCCTTCATGTCCCAGAAGGACTTCCAAGTACATAGTTTACATCTGTGTCCATGTCATAGAACTTGAGCCTCGTTTTACTGATCAGAGATTTATACTGTCTACTTATGCAGCACATTGTAGGTCATAGCTGCCAATTGCTAGCTTGGAGTCCTTGGTCGAGACTGCCACCCCGAATTACAGCGCTGTGTTCCTATTGGCGGAATGCGATCCGTGCTGATCGTGCTGCGACG